TAGGCACGGCGGGAGCAGGCGCGGCGGCAGGTTTCTTTTTAAATCTCCCCTCGCGAGTGGTGGGGCGCGCGGGGGGTTCTGCGGGGAGACCCCGCGTGGCTGCCCTCGGGGCATGCAGAGCGTCGGCGGCGCGCTCACGTCCTGGGCTGTGGCTCCTCCCCGTGTCCCCGTTTCACCGAAGAGGATACCGAGGCTCAGAGAGGCTGAGTCACTTGCCCAAGGTCGTTCATTTAGGGGTCTGACTGGAATCAAATCAAAAGTTTGCCAAAATTAATAACTATGAAAAAATAGTATTGACCTCCCGAATACCACTACTGTTAATAACCAGATGCTATTTTAGTTCCTTCCTTCAATTGTCTACCTCAGTGGTTCTCAGCTGGGGGTGATTTATGACCCCCCAGGGGACATGTGGCCGTATCTGAAGACACAGTTTGGCGCATGTCAGCTTGCAGAGGTGCTGCTGGCCTCGAGTTGGTACAGACCAGAGACGCTGCTGCACACCCCACAATGCACAGGATGTCGCTAACCTCAGAGAATGAGGCCTTCCTCCCCATGTCAGCGGTAGGGGTGGAGAGACCCCAGCCTATGCCAGTGCCGAGTGGATGACCTGTGCGGCTTTGTCAGGTGGTGGTATGTGCTGCCTCCTGGTAATTTAATGTGTTCATCATCACAAAATTAGGTAAATGAAAGAAGGACCGAGGTCACGAGTAAATAGTACAAAATAGAACATATTTAAAGTATACCTCCCCTGGCCCGCTCTACAGTTTGCAGAGCATGTGGTATCCCTGTCGGCATCCTCGTAGCCAGTGGACTGGAAACGGAGGCCCAGAAGAGGAATGAGCGGCCCCAGGTGGCGCCAGGCAGGTGTCTGTACTGCCTCAGGGACTGTCCTCAGTGCCCTGTGACATCCTGGAAGTCAAAATAAATCAGTAACAACTTTGAGGGGGTCTGGCTGTCCACTGGGGGGTGGAAGGGAGGCTGGCACCGTTCCTCCAAACTGCGATGGTCAACCACCCGCACAGGAATGGATCCCTCAAAGGCTAACTGAGCCTATAGACAGATACTCCACTATGCTCACGGCCCCACTATGAGAAGAACAGAAAATCGGAAACAACCCACATGTCTACCCACCCGTGCCTGGGTAGATGAATAAGGAATGGGGCGGGAGGATAAAACACAGGATGTGGCCGAAAGAAGGAATGCCAGGCACCAAGGCCTCGAATAATGTATTTTAAGAGTGCACCTTGTAGCACCAAGGTCAAGGGTTCGGATTCCCTCAGCTCCGCAAAAAGAGAGAGAGAGACCTACAAGGGATAAAATAACAAATAGCCATGGACCTGCCACTGAAATGAACACACATTAGCATTTTGTCACATTTGCTTCAAGATTTTTTTTTTTTTTAAACGAGAACATATATTTCATGACTGATCACTGAAATTTTTAAGATGAACTGAATACTGCATATGTGCTGCCAGGACAAGCACCAAGACATTTTTTTAAAGATGAAATAGGAGAGCCTGTCTTCCCTCCTCCCATTCATTTCTTCCTTTCCAACCCAAGGCAAATGCTGTGATTTGTAAGCAGACACTCTTATGAATATACTCCCAGCATGAGTATATGCACACCCAATACACAATAGGTAGTTTTGGTCCCTTTTATATTGTGATAAAATACGTAGAACATGAAATTCACCATCTTAACCATGTTTAAATGCACGGTTTTTTCAGCAGCGTTTAGCACATTCACGTGGCCGTGCAGCCGTCACCACCATCGTCTCCAGAACTTTCTCATTTCCCCAAACTGAAACTCTGTCCCCATTAAACACTCACCCCCCATCCCCATCCCCAACCCCTGGCACCCCCCATTCTACTTTCTGTCTCTGTGGATCTGACGACTCTAGGACCTCCTGTGAGTGGAATCACACAGCATCTGTCCTTTTGTGACTGGCTTATGTAACTGACCAAAATGTGCTCAAGGTTCATCCACATCGTAGTGTGTATCAGAGTTTCCTTCCTTTTCGTGGCTGAATAATATTCCATTTTGTGGATGGACTACATTGTGCTTATGGACACTTGGGTTGCTTCCACCTTTTGGCTATTATGAATCATGCTGCTATGAACCTGGGTGTCCAAATACCTGTTTGATCCCTTTATATTAAAAAATTATATATAATATTGCTATATACACAAAAAAAAATTGGGCCGGCCCGTGGCTCACTCGGGAGAGCGCGGTGCTGATAACACCAAGGCCCCGGGGTCGGATCCTATATAGGGATGGCCGGTTCACTCACTGGCTGAGCGTGGTGCTGACAACACCAAGCCAAGGGTTAAGATCCCCTTACCGGTCATCTTTTTTTAAAAAAAAAAAAAAAAAAAAAAAAGACAAAAAAAATACAGCAGCCTTGACATTGCCTGGATAAAGCAGATATCTGGGCCTGGGGTGGGGGGATCACGGAGAGTTTACCTGGTCACAGATGCCATGACAACCTGTAATTATGTTGTTTACTTATTATTTATTACCCAGTCCCCCAACAGAGTATGGTCTACAGTGGCTTTGGGGATGGGTCTCTTTTGGCCATTACTGGGACCTCAGTACCCAGCTCAGAGCCTGCACAAAGGTGCCCGATGTGTTTGGTGAATGAATGAATTTCACTTCCGCCGACCCATTGCTCTATACCAGGGGTTGGTAAACTTTCTCTGTAAAGGGTCAGATAGTAAATAAACATTTTTGCTTTTTGACTTTTTTTTCGTGACCGGCAACGGGATCGCAACCCTCGGTGTTGCGCCCACACCTCGCTCAGCCAGTGAGTGGCCGGTCTGTATGTAGGATCCGAACCCTCGGCGGGAGCGCCGCCTCGCTCCCAAGCACTGCTCCAGTGCGCCACCGGGCCGGCCCAGTAAATAAACATTTTTGGCTTTGCAGGTTATACAGTCTCTGCAGCAACTACTAAACTGTATGCTTGTAACTGGAAATCACCGTGGAGGATATATAAACAAATGTGGCTGTTTGCCAATAAAACTTTATTTAAAGCACAAAAAATGTCATATAATTTTCACGTGTCATGGAATAGTCTTTTCAAATTTTCCAACCATTTAAATATGTAAAAACTATTCTTGGCTCACATTGTGCCATATTCTGCCAAATTCTGCTCTACAGTTTTTAAATGTTTTGATCAAGTATGTTACCTTTCTATCAGAAAATATTTATTTTAGGCCGGCCTGTGGCTCACTCGGGAGAGTGTGGTGCTGATAACACCAAGGCCCCAGGTTCAGATCCCATATAGGGATGGCCAGTTAGCTCACTTGGGAGAGCGTGGTGCTGACAACACCAAGCCAAGGGTTGAGATCCTCTTACTGGTCATCTTTTTTTTAAAAAAAAAGAAAAGAAAAGAAAATATTTATTTTTCTTCTTTTTTTTTCTTTTCAGAGTGTGGTTCTGGAGTCAGATACACCCCTGTCCGCATCCCCAGAACCACCACTTTGCTATGCACCCTTGAGGAAGCCACTTGCCCTCTCTGAGCCTCGGTCTGCAGGCTGCAAAGCACAGATAACAACAGCACGCATTGGGCTCATGAGCAGACACAACACTGCATTACATTCATCTGCTGACATTAGGAGGGGCAAGAGTGGCCACCCCATTACACAAAAGCTGAAGCTTGAAGATAAACCAGTTGGCTAGGTTGCCAGCCGATCATACCGTGCCCTCAGCCACTGTTGGGGATGGAGCCTCAGTTTCCCTATCCACTATGAAGATTAAACGATTTTATTTTATTTTTATTATTATTTTTTTATTATTATTATTTTTTCCTTTTTGTCTTTTTTCGTGACCGGCAACGGATCGCAACCCTCGGTGCTGCGCCCACACCTCGCTCAGCCAGTGAGCGGCCGGTCTGTATGTGGGATCCGAACCCTCCGCCGGGAGCGCCGCAGCGCTCTTAAAAGGCGCACTGTAGCAGTGCGCCACCAGGCCGGCCCTAAACGATTTTAAATACGTAAGGCATTTCCATCAGCGCCTGGAAAAGCGGCAGATCCTCACACCCCAGCGAGGAGCGGGCTTTATGCGGGGGAGGCAGATGAGGAAACTGAGGCACGTAAGTGACGAGGCCAAGATTCGAGCCCGCAGCACCCCACTCAGGAGCTCGCCGACGTCAGGCTGCCTGCCCC